TTTCTTTCTTTCATATCTGGCTTGCAAGTGTTGAATTTCGGAGAGAAAAGAGCAGCGTTAGTATTTTGAAGAATGCACCAAGTTCAGCATATTTTTCACAAAATATGCTCTGTTTCTGGAGTACCGTTTGGTTGGCATGAGGCTGCTCCATGTGCACCAGCTGTTCGATCCTGTTCTAGATCGTACCAACCAAACGCACTCTTAGATAGCTTTGCATAGCCATCGGGCTCTAGTTCCTGCTGGCAGGCCTCTTGTACAGACTAACTATTGTACATAACAAATACCAGCCTTTTCAACCACTGCAATCGTTCATAACCTTTCCCAGACGGTGAATTTCTCTCTCGAAAGTCCCATTGTTAACGTGATGAATTTTAAACAAACAAAATGTGTACGAACATTTCCCTGTTTTGCATCTTCAGCACCAAGCCACACCCCTACTGAGCAGGAAAAAAAGATATAGTTGGGGGTATTTGGACAATTTCCTGCTGCACAGCCTCATTTCTCTTCGGAAATTGGAGATTTCGGTCAAAAACACCATGAAAAAAATCAAGGGGACAAAAATAGTGCACAAGGGTGGCTCGGATCTGAGGCGCGGAAAGTCATGATATTTCCACTCATTACCTGCGGTTTTATCTGGTGTCGACACACTCTCTCTAAATACCCCACACCGCCACCTGGGCATGGTCTTGTGGGCTGTTGAACAGTGCATTGCTGGTCCCAGCATACTCACATGCAATGTACTCATACAATGCATATTTGGCAATGTGCACTGGAGATTTAATATTCGTTGTGTATGCTGCTTCTGCTGCTGCTGTTGTTCACAGAACGTTAACAAACCTGCTGGACTCGTTGACTGGCTCCGGATTGGTTGCCGTGATAGCTTCGTCCGGAGGTATTGTCGTCCTCGGCGAGATTGTCCCGCAGAGCGTCTGCTCGCGCTATGGCCTGGCCGTCGGGGCCAAGACCATATGGCTGACGCGCTTCTTCATGATCGTCACTTTCCCGCTAGCCATGCCCATCTCTTGGGTGAGTTGCAATCTTCTTATCTCTCTCTCTCTCTCTCTCTCTCTCTCTCTCTCTCTCTCTCTCTCTCTCTCTCCCCTCCTTTCGATCTCGCGCACTTCCCCCAAAGGTCATGGTCGTGACTTTCTTTCCCGCTAACCATTCCCATCTCGTGAGTGAGTTTCTGCAGTCTTCTTATCTCGGGTGCTCAAGGCAGGCATGACCTAGGTCCCTGTGAGTGTAATGGGTGTTCAAGGCTTGCATGACCTTGACCTGTGTGTGTGTGTGTGTGTGTGTGTGTGTGCAATGGGTGTTCAATCCGGGCATGACCTTGATCTGTGTGTGCAATGGGTGTTGACTGGCATGAGCTTGGTTCCTGTGTGTGTGCAATGGGTGTTCAAGGCAGGCATAACGTTGGTCCCTGTGTGTGCAATGGGTGCTCTTGTGGCATGGCGTTCACCTGGACATGGCAGTCCAGGGATGAATTTACTGTCATATTTTTGCATAGCAGTTTCTCCTATACGAAATCACAATTGTGTAGCAGTCTTTGGTTTTGATTAGCATTTTTTCTTTGAAGGTAGGGTGTTTACCACATTGTCCTTCTTGAGAGTGATGCCGAAAGCCCATTTGCAAAAAAACCGACTGAAGCGTACATATGCACGCAGATTGAGAGTGTCTGCACCCCATACACCGTACTGTATGCATGTTACATGACAGCACAGGCTAGGCATGGATAGTGTGTATGCATCGCAATTTTCTGCGAGTCACGGTGACTTTTGAGTAGCAGTAGATCGATTTTGCATCGCAAACTGCGATGCGATACAGGATAAATTCATCCCTGCAGTCATTGGTCTTGATTCCAGTGGTCCCCTTGGTCAAGTTACTAGTCTCCTTTATCACCCTGAATGTACATGAAGGGCTCCAATTCGAAACGCGATAAAGACCAAACCGGAGCTTTTGTGGTTTTTTTTGTCACGAAAGAATTCGTTTTCACCCCACAGACGTCTGTGTGTCAGTTTTACGGGTCGAAACGCGATGCATCCCAGTCAAAATGATGCCTGAAGTTTGTGTTCTTCTGCTAAACGCGACAAAAGTCATTGATGCTGCAGTGCAGACCGAAAAAGAACAAATGAAAAAATGCACTTCCTGAAATTTCCACAAAATGGATTTATCTCGTTTTGAATTGGAGCCCTTCACATGTTTTTTTGCTGTGGTTGTTTCTTGTTTCCTAAGATTTTGGATCGGATCTTGGGAAGGGAGATTGGTCGTGTGTTTAAACGCGAGGAGCTCATAAAGTTGGTGCAAGTGACGCGTGATCACCATGATATGGCTGAGGTAAGGGGTTTCTTTCGTTTGTGTCCCTGTGTGTGTGTGTCCCTGTGTGTGTGTTCTGTGTGTGTGTGTCTGTGTCTGTGTCTTGCGTGAAACTTAAAAGCCAAAAACATGACCTCCGGATTCAGGAGTCGACCGATAGCCGGGGTCGACTTATAACCGGTGAAATACGGTATCTGCTCTGTTCACTACTGAATTGTCGGATGTCGCTATGCTCGTTTGCTTCCGCGTGTGCATGTGTGGCTGCTTGTGTGTGCGCGCGCGCGTGTGTGTGTATGTGTACTTGTGTCTGTGCACGTGCTGCTGCGATGGCCGTGTCGTGTTCCTCTTTCCACCAGGATGAACTAGAGATGTTGGCTGGAGTGCTACAGTTTAAGAACAAGACCATAGCGGAAGTCATGACTCCCAAGGCTGACATGTTCCTGCTCGCCGATAACACCGTCTTAAACTTCGACACGCTCCGCATGATCCAGGTGAGCTGCCGTTACGGCGACTAATGAAACAGCGTTTCCTCGTATGCTAGTGTACAGGCGTAGTGGTGGCCTGCGGATGCGAAGCCCAGTTTGTGTGTTTCTGAAGGGAAAGGTGCGAACGGAAAAGTCTGAAGCTGTATACAGCCATGCTGGTTTCCGTGCGTGCGTCTGTGTGTGTGTACGTGTGTGTGTGTATGTGTGTGTGCGTCTGTGTGTGTACGTGCACGTGTACATGTCCGTCTATGTGTTGCATGTTTCCCTTGCACCTGATGTGTGTGTATGTGTGTGTGTGTGTGTGCATGTGCATGTGTGTGTATGCAGAAAAAGGGTCACTCGCGCATACCAGTGTACTGCCATGGAGACGAGAGTGACATCATGGGCGTGCTATTTGTGAAGGACTTGATGTTTGTGGACCCGGATGAGAACTGGCCTGTGTCTCGCATTGTGAAGCAGTACAAACATGCTGTAAGTGTCTGACACAGTACAACACTGCTGCTGTTGCTGTTGCTGCTGCTGTTGCTGCTGGGCTTGCTGCTGTTGCTGCTGCTGGGCTTGCTGCTGTTGCTGCTGCTGTTGCTGCTGCTGCTGCTGTTGCTGTTGCTGCTGTGCTTGCTGCTGCAGCTGTTGCTGCTGCTGCTGTCGCTGCTTCTGCTATCGCTGCTGTTGTTGTTGATGCTGTTTCTGCTGCTGCAGCCGCTGCTACTGCTGTTGTTGTTGATGCTGCCGCTGTGCTTGCTGCTGTTGCTGCTGCTGCTGGGCTTGCTGCTGCTGCTGATGCTGTTCCTGATCCTGCTGCTGCTTCTGTTGATGCTGCTGCTGTTGTTGGTGCTGTTGTTGGTGCTGCTACTGGTGCTGCTACTGGTGCTGCTGTTGCTGCTGTTGCTGCTGCTGCTACTGCTACTGCTGCTGTGGCCGCTTCTGCTGTCGGTGCTGCTGCTGTGGCCGCTGCTACTGCTGTTGTTGATGCTGCTTATGTGCTTGCTGCTGCTGCTGCTGCTGCTGCTGCTGCTTCTGTTGTTGAGGGGAGAAAGAAAAGAATGAAAGGGGACTGAAAAGTAAGAGAAGTGCGTGGGAGCTAGGGCAGGGCTGGATATCAACTAGTATGTTGCATTCTGCAGTAGCTGTGTGAATGTATTGTAACATTGGCAGAATTTTAGATTTAGTGGGAGGAGAGACCAGTGGCGGTAAGCAAGGAGCAGAGGAGATGTTTTCATAGAGGCAGACCTCCCAATAGGGAAGTGGAGAGAGTTTCTGGTGCGCATGTCTTGAGATTGAACAAACCAGCTTAGGCAGCTTTTTTGGAGTTGATGTCCAGAGCGTATTCGTTTCAACAGCTGCGGGCGATGCTGCTGCCATTCTTTGCTGCTTGCTCAGCAAGCGCGCTGTCTTTCTCCACATGATTGTGCGTTGAAGCCTGTCTTGCTCGACCTCTCTCGGGACCTTCAAATCCAGATCCCCGTGTGCAGGTGGTTGCTGAGAACCCGATCGGGTAGTTGGAGTACGGTACTTGTTGCAACTGTGCATGTAAAAAGCACGGCTACGCGCTTACTGTACACTTTCTATGTAGCGCGAGTGCAGCAGCACACTCACTGTACAAACGATGTTTAAAAAATACCCGATAGGGTAGCCGTGCTACCCGGATAGAAATACCGTATTTCCCCGTTTATAAGTCGCACCCCCATTTTCAGGTTTGAGCAATATTGATTTGATATATCGACTTCAGTTGTAAGTCACGCTCGATTGTAAGTCGCACCCCCTTTTTTACCCTTGAATTTTAATGTAAAAAGGTGCGACTTATATTCGGGGAAATTCGGTACCCAAAGTTGTTACGCGACCAAACCCCTACCCATTGCAGCCCTACTGCGAATACCACTCCTTTGTCCGTGTTGTACTGGTCCCCCTGTGGGACAGGAGCTTCTCCTATCAGAGTGGTTGCCTTGACAGTTTTTTTACTGTGTTCTCATGCCGCTGTGTTGTGTTGTCACGATTGTTGTTGCAGGTTTTACGCACTGTGCAAGACACCAAGCTGGATGTCATGCTGGAGCAGTTTAAGAGCGGCGTGTCACACATGTCACTGGTCCAGCGTCTTATCAACGATTGTGAAGGAGACCCATACTATGTCACTGTCGGTGAGTGTGTCTGTCTTACTTTGTCTGTGTGTGTGTGTGTGTGTGTGTCTCTCTCTCTCTCTCTCTCTCTCTCTCTCTCTCTCTCTCTCTCTCTCTCTCTCTCTCTCTCTCTCTCTCTCTCTCTCTCTCTCCCTTTCTCTCTCTCTCTCTCTCTCTCTCTCTCTCTCTCTCTCTCCCTTTCTCTCTCTCTCTCTCTCTCTCTCTCTCTCTCTCTCTCTCTCCCTTTCTCTCTCTCTCTCTCTCTCTCTCTCTCTCTCTCTCTCTCTCTCTCTCTCTCTCTCTCTCTCTCTCTCTCTCTCCCTTTCTTATTTTTCTGATTCTGGTTGTGGCAGTAGCGACTTTGGTTTTTCGCATCTTCATTCTCTTGATGTTGCTGCTGCGGTTGTTCTTGATGTTGCTGCTGCTGTTTGAAACCTTATATTCTCACGATGGCCTGTGGCCAATACGAGAAGAAGAAACACAGGTACGGGGGATCGGATAAAGAGATATCTAAATTTTGTGGCGTGCTAAAATAGTAGCCATGCTAATGAAGAGCTGCACCTGCGCCTTGATCCAAGAGGGTGGTGGCGTTCCTGCGGATGTGGAAAACTCGGTGGGACCCGTGAAATTTTTTTTAATGAAGAGTTTATCGGCTGTTGTTGTTGTTGTTGTTGTGCAGGCATTGTGACACTAGAGGACATTATTGAAGAAATCATCAAAACGGAAATTGTTGATGAGACTGATATTGTGCGTGATAACATTACCAAGGAACCGGTGCAGAGGAAACCCGGGAGAATGCTGATGTGGAGGTAGGCTGTGCTGATGTGTGTGTGTGGGGGGGGGGGGGGGGTGGGGAGGGGGGGGGGGGGGGGGGGGGGTGTGTGCGCGCGTGTATGTGTGTGTCTGGATGTGGGTGTGGGTGTCTGGGTGTGTGTAATGGTGGGAGAGTGGATAAGTATAATTTGGAATGGCTGGTGGATGTAATTTCTGCTGAGTGGGTCGGTGAAGGTGTGCGTGAGGCTTTGTGCGTGCATGTACCCACGTGTAAGGTGGAGGTACGTGTGTAGGCATGTACGTAAATGCCTTGTTATTTATTTCATCGTGTGTAATTCTCATTAGGGTGCCTCAACTCACAACCACAGTACAGTCAGTGTATTTGCTGCTTGCGTCATCAGCTGTTCAACGTCATCAACTGTTAGTGAACAGTTGATGACGTATGCGGCAAAAGACTATGTTTTGAGTGTTGAGATGCCCGAATGTGTAAATGGATGCAGTGGAGTCTGCTCTCATCCCTGTTGTTCTGTTCTGTTATAGAGGGCGGTGGCGCTCCTACGAATGCGGAAAACTCGGCCTTCAACCGAATCTAACGTGAAATGTGATTTTTTTAAATTTGTTGTTCTGTTCTCTGCTGCATGCTGTTGCTGCTGATGGCGTGTGCTTTGCCCAGGTGCCTATGCTGGACGAGGCTGATGGTGTCAACGTGTCCAAGAACCTGCTGATGGCCGCGCACACATTCCTACGCAATGGTACGTGGCGACGTTGCAGGCCTAATTCTGCATTGGCCGCTGTGCACATGGGGGGGGGGGGGGGGGTTCAAGCCCGTCTCCCGGGGGTTCCGGACATACCTTGGAGTCCTGATTCCCGTCGACCCTCAGGGACGGACAGCCATCTCCAGAGTGTTGCTGCTGCTGATGCTGCTGCTGCTGATGATGATGGTGATCCTGATGCTATTGTTGTCGTTGTGGTGGTAGTTGTTGTTGTTGTTGTTGTTGTTGTTGTTGTTGTTGTTGTTTCAAATCTTTATTCTCACGGTTGTTGTTTGTCGTCGTCGTTGTTGTGTTCGTTGTTTAGATTTCGACAAGTACTTCAGCTCTGCGCAGGTCAGCGACGACAAGCTAGGTCGCCTGCTGGGCAGCCACAAGTCCATCTGCACGGTGCGCGTGGGGACCACGGTAGCCGAATCCAAGGACACTGTGCAGTACCTGCGCTCGCGTAACCATAGCGACGGCGGGGGCGGCGGCGGATCACCGGCGCTCTCCCTGTCGTCGTCAGGGGCGACGGAGCGCACGGGAACGATGAACCGCTCGCGGCAGGTCCTGTACACGGCCGGCGAGCCGTCGGACAAGTTCATCGTGATTTTGGAGGGGACGGTGGAGGTGCGTGTGCACAATTTCACCTTCGAGAAGGGCCCGTTCGACTCGTTTGGCGTGGAGGCGCTGGAGAGGAAGGGTGTGTTCACGCCGGACTTCACTGTGCGCGCGCTCACTGACCTCACCTTCATCAAGGTACGCGCTGAACATAGTCGCTGTTTGTATTTTGCTGTGGTGTCTTGTATTGTAGCCTGTCTCGTACAGAAACCTGTTTTGAATGCAAGCCAGATTTTTCAAGATACACTGTCGGCACAGACACCTGGATTTAGTGTCGACACACGTAGAAATATCTGGCGTCAAGAGTACATAACCCCAAGAGTGTGCAACTGCCTGCACAACCTCTATGCTGTGCTGCAACGGCAGAACTTCACATCACGTGACATGGTTCAAAAGGTTATGCTGGCAAACAGTGCAAAGTGACCACAAGAGAGTTGTACCCAAAGCTGGGCTGCGTACAACCCTGTATCTATCATGCACAGAGTGCAAATAATGTGTACGGGTTCATCACGTGATGTGAAGTTCTGCCGTCGCAGACCCCATAGCTGGAGTTGCACACTCTTGGGGTTATGTACTCTTGCTGACGTGAATAGAAGCCTGATGTGAATAGAAGCCTAGCCCTGGCATTGTCTTCTACGGAATAAAAATACTACAAATACCTTCGATTTTTCTTCTGTAAGAGCGCATGCTATAGTGTACTAGATGTGTTACCAAGACTACAAGAAGTTCCCAAGAGCGTGTGACTCATACTAATGCCCTTTCTATGTGCATGCGTGTGCGTGTGTGCGCATGCGTGTGTGTGGGGGGGGGGGGGGGGGGCGTGCGTGTGTGTGCATGCGTGTGTGTGTGTGTGTGGGCGTGCGTGTGTGTGTGCGTGTGTGCGCATGCGTGTGTGTGTACGTATGTGTTCGCATGCATGCCTATTCAGATCAGCGCTGACATGTACCAGCGGGCGTGTCACATGACCTTGGCGAGCACGGGCGACTCGTCGTCGCAGCGCACCTCGTCCGACATGGCCATCGCCCCGTCCCCGCTTGCGAGCAGCAGCAGCAACACCAACGTACGGTCGCGGTTAGCCGACAAGCCGGGCCATGGAGACGGCAGAGCTGGAGCTGGCCATGCCGCTGCTGCTGCTGGTGGTCCCAGCGTGACCTTCCAGGCTGCCGGCGCCACGGCACCCACCGCGGCGGCGTTGTCGAGGCAGACCAGTTCGCCGGGCGTGGGAATGCTGGACGCTGACGACACATCACCACTGCTGACGCCCGCTCACACGGTGACGCAGCAGTCACCCCGTCGTAGTCCTCACATGCCCAAGTTTATCGCGCGCCTCACCGGGGCCATGACGGACGGCAGCGTAGAGTTTGAGCGGCTGGAGAGCAACACTCAGCCGCAGGCCACGACCACTAGCTCGAGTGACCACGGCAGAACTAGATCCCCGTCTCCGCAGAGCACGAGTGTGTGAGCGTGATATAGAGCGAGAGATGTATGTTTCTTTTGTGCGGGTGTGTACAAGTGTGTGTGTGTGTGTGTGTGTGTGTGTGTGTGTGTGTGTGTGTGTGTGTGTGTGTGTGTGTGCGTGTATGTGTGCGTGTGCGTGTGTGTGTGCGTGGGGTGGGTGGGTGTATTGCTTGGAAGCCAAGTTCTCTCTCTCTCTCTTCTCTCTCTCTCTCTCTCTCTCTCTCTCTCTCTCTCTCTCTCTCTCTCTCTCTCTCTCTCTCTCTCTCTCTCTCTCTCTCCCTCTCTCCCCACCACCCACACACATGCACCCTCTCTGCTGCTCACATGCCCATTCCTGCAGCAGCTAGCTATAGATGAAGCCGACCCCGCCGTCGCCTCTACATAGGCTCCTAGCAGTACCGCCATTGTTGTGTTTATTGCTGTTATCAATGCCGTGATGCTATGCCGCTGCTGCTGTTGCCTGGTTGTATGCTGTGCTGTGTTGCAGTTACTGAAGTAGTTCTAGTACATGGACACCAGTCGGGCCATGCTGCGACAAATAGACTAGTTCCCCTGCTCTACACACTCTAGTAGTAGTTTTTTAGCCGTCACATTTGTACTTTCCCCGCTCTCACTGCTGCCACACGGCTCCGCGCAGCTTGCTCACACGCCGTGACCTCACCAGCCGATGACGTCTTGAACGCCATTGTGAGTGGCGTGAACCTTGATGGCATCAGTTGCGTGAGCATGTCACCCGGGCCAGCTCAGGCTTGTTGTAAGGAGCTGTGCATGCATACACACACACACACAAACGCACACACACACACCTACCCCCCCCCCCCCCCCACACACACACACAAACACACGCACGCACGCACCTCGGACTGTTGCTTTCGTTGTCCCTGGATACATAGATTCGCTGGCGATGCAGCATTATGGTCTTCGACGCCGGCAACCACTGGTGGTGCCGTGCATCGATTCCTTTCTCTCTCTCTCTTTTTTTTTTCGTAGCTATTTCCTATGTGCGTTGGTGCTATCTATTTGGGCATGTGATTTGCAGTCTCTGTAAATGTGTAGATCATCGAAATGCTTTTTTCAGACCCTCTCCCTAGCCCTGCCACTGTCTCAGTTGCCATGGTTATTGCTTTCTGTCACGTGACCAGGCCAAGGGCAGTGCCGGCCAGGCGCAGGGAGTTGGGGTTTTGCTGATTTTAGTTATTTTTTTAAATTATGAGAAATCTCATCATGACGCACGTTGTGGCCGTTCTGATTGCGACCGGGTTTTCAGAAATGCTGTGCAGAATTCTGCGGCTGTAAACAGTAAATTCTGCGCTGATTCTGCAAATCCTTCCAAATTTTGCGGCAATTCTGCAAGGGAAATGAGCGTAAGAAATACTAAAAACATATTGAATTTCCGCGACCCCACCGAAGTTTGTTCTCCCTATATAAAAAATAAAAAAATTATGCGAAATCCTGGTCCAAAAAAAATGAAAACTCCAAACACCTTGCAAGTTGGTTTATTTTAAAAGTCACAAGCAGAGGTACTACTTGTAGGTGGGTTTTGCTGTGAAATACAAAAATATTAATAATACAACAAAGGTTTCCAGAAAAAGCAGTTTTTTCTCTCTTTTCTGCAATATTCCGCGGAATTTTCTGTACTAGTCTGGATTCTGCGGAAATTCTGCAATCCACGGAATTGCGGAATTCACGGGGGACAGGATCCTAGGACTGTGTGTGTGTGTGTGCGGGGAAAAAAATGAAAAAGACCAAAAAATAGGGATTCACTGGCCAGACAAAGCCACTTCATAGCGGTGTGGTGTAGACCAGGCTGAATAGTGGCGGTCAATTCTTCAGCCTTGCAAGCAGTTGAATCCCAGTACAAGCTGCTATGGTTTCTGCCGTAGCATCGCCTCCGGCGATGGGCGTCAAATCATTGAAATGGTCAAATGGTGTGTGTGTGCTATAGTCGCGGTCAATTCATCAGCCTTGCAAGCTGTTGAATGGTGTAATCCCACCACAAGTTGCTATGTCTAACATAGCTGTTCGCTATCATCGCTTCCGCGATGGGCACGTCTGAGGTGTGTGCTGGTGGGTGGTGTGCATGTGCTGATCATGATCGTGTTTGAGGGGAAGCTTGTGTGCTACAAAACAAGCCCATTGAGTGCACATTGCCAAATATGGAAGGTATGAGTAATGCATGCGAGTACACTGGCATCAGTAATGCACTGGTCAACACCCCAGACGACCAGCCCAGGTGGCTGTGCGGGATGTTATCGTACAAAGTACATCATTGGATTCATTGCGCAATGGGCGTAAATATTATGGAAGCTTTTTGGATCACAACTTTCGTTTCCCTCCTTCCATTTTTACACTCTCGGGCTTTCTGGAAACCTACCGTATTGGCAAGAGGAACGTTATCAGTTTATCCTGTAATACAGTATAATTATTGTGTTTGTCCTTGCATGATGTAAAATGCATGATGTAATGCATGATGTAATGCATGTCGGAGAGAATCGGAAACATTATACACGTACACGTGACAGTGCAGAATGCTGGCAGAGGAGGCCTGCAAAAAAATATGAAAAGGGAGAAAAGAATGGAAGACAGCGGCATAACTGGCCGCTATTTACATGTGCATTCCGCCATGCACCCGAGATGTCAAGGAGAAACTGAATTGTTGCGGGACAGCAAGTCGAGCTGTTGTCAATTATCATTCTGTACAAGGCAATAATAAAAGTTATGGAGAAGGAGAGACTGGGTGCATGCTCCGGTGGAGAACTGAGGGGAGATATTTTTTTAATATTAATGAAATCAGAACATCCCAGTGCGGGGGGGGGGGGGGTCTTGATGTGACACACTCACGGGTATTAATACTTGGGGACAGGGCTGGCAAGTGACGCCTCAAACCAACCAACGGGGAGCAGGGACAGCCGCAAAGAAAAAAAACTCTAACATTGATAAATCGTGCAGGAGCGGGTGCGAAAGATTAGCGTGATTGGGAGTGTATGTCACTGTACATTATGAACACGTGCATTGTTTGACCACTGCATGCGAGGCAGCATTGCATTACTTGGTATTGATAGTGTGCTGTTGATACACAAACGTGTCTTGCCTACAAACATAAATAAATAATACTAATATTGGTGCAAGTGTGCACACACTTGCGTGAATACTTGCTACCACGAAGCCAGTCAATAGTCCACGGTGGGTGAGAAACAAGGCATGGAGGAGGGGGGGGAGTGAGTGTGTGTGTGTGTGTTAGAAGAAGAGAGAGACCAATAATTGACAGAATGGCAGGCTTCAAGTTCAAGAAGCAAGGCCATTGTGCATACGACATGCTGCCTGTGCCACGACAAGGGCGAGATGGGGGATTTCCCACAGTAGATTGGGGGCATGCCACCGCTGCAAACGACCACACACACACACACACACACACACACACACACACACACACACACACACACACACATACACACACAGAAACACACACATACACACACACACACAAACACACACACAAACACACACACAAACACACACACACACACTGCCGTATGCTCATCCAGCATGGCACTGTACAGCGTTCACTGACGACGTCCCAGACCAGGTCATCAATGACGCCACCAAACGAGTCACCAGATTGGTGCCGGGCTGCAGTGTGGGTAGAGGTCTCTGCTCGCACGACCAGCCCAGAAACCATTCATTCGGTCATCGAGCAAGACACTTAGCCCGCTGCAGTGCACGCGAAATGGCAGTCTTCTTGCTCGCTTGCCCCATGGTCCGACAACGCAGGTAGGTCATTTGCAAAGCAGTGCGAAGATTCCCAGCAGGGTCAAAACTCAAAAGCCCATGTCCATGTCGTCGATGACCTCCTCATCGTCGTCCAGCATCCAGCCAGCCACCGCTGCCGTTGGCTGCGAGTCGAAGCTGTCCACCTGCTCTCTATCCCAGGCGCTACTGCGACGATCCGTGCGCACGGGCGGCTTGGCGTACGTTGCCATGGCGGAGGACGCGGTCTCTCGGAACGCAGGGCTGTGGTGCAGCGTGGACGCGGTGTTGTGCCAGGCGTTCTCCACCCCACCACCAAAACCACCACCGCCGTTGCAGCGTACGCCTGACGACGACAATGCCGATGCGGTGTTGCTCTTCGCCGTTGGCTGGGGGCGCTGCTGGCGTTGGTTGCCGTCGGCAACGCCACGGGTCACCTTCGTCGGGGACGACGCATGGCCACCGGGGAAGAATGCTCGACTGGCCCTGGCTACTGGCGGTGGCGAAGGATGTACTCTGGCGTGGGCGGACGGTGGGGGTGGTGAGAGTGGGGGTCTGTTGGCACCGGCCTTGCCAGCGGGGGGATCTCGATTTAAGATATTGTAATGGTCTTCGCCGCCACCACCACCGCTGTCGAAATCACCACCACCCATCCTCAGCGGTGAGAGAGATGGCGACGAAGTAGGGGGAACACTGGCGCCAGCAGCGGCCGTGTGCGGGTAACAGCGCTCTGCGTCTGCCCCGCAGCCACCGGTACTCGGTAGTTTCGTACTACTGCTGCCGAACGTCTCGGCGACCGAGAAGGTGCTGCGTAGTTCGGCGCGCCTCGCCTTGGCCGTGGGCGCTGGCTCAACGGCCGTGCCATACAGCATGCCGTACACGCCCTCCTCGTCGTCGTCGTCGGGCAGGACTGCCGCCATGCTGCCGTGGACAGCCGAAGCACTCTCGCCGACTGCACCGGGCAGGCTGATTCTCGCCAAGCCAGCAGCGCTCGCGGCACTCTTTCCCGAGCCCAGGCTGTCCTGCTGACGTGCTGTCGGATAGGAGGCAGGTGGCAGCGGCGGTGGTGGCAGCGGAGCATGCTTTCCACCGCCACCGCCGATAGGTTGCATCAACGGTGGCGGCGGCGGTGCTTTGTCCGTGAATCCCATACCCACCAGCTCGCTGGTGCTGTACAGCATGCCGTAGTCGTCTTCATCGACTGCCATCACTGCGGAAGTGGCACCGCCGATGTCACTCGTCGTTGCCGCCGCACTCGACAAAGTGTTCCAAGCTATGGAATGGCCGTCAGTGGATTTCTCGTGCATTCCATCCTTCTTTCGCAGCTGGTCGTTCGCATTCTGACCCGACAAGTATGGCTCGCCCTCTTCACTCTCTGCTGGCGGACTGAAAGGTGGTGGTGGGGGTATGGTCTTCTCAAGCGACTGGCTGTGCTTGACCCCGACACCCTCGATGTCCGCGTGTCGTCCGAACGTCTTTGCATGATGGGACGTTGTCCTGTTGGCGCGGCGCTTGTGAGAGTATGTTCTCGTGGGTGGCGCTGGGGCGGCTTCCTCCGTCTGATCCCTGTCCACGACGGAGGCGCCGCTATTCGCCTGCTCATTTCGCACTCCTGCTTCTGGTGGTGGTGGCGGGTGATGGTGTTTGTCTGGCGATGGCCAACGTCCCAGCCCGACTGAGTACCTGGCTGCGGCCTGCTCCTTCTTGACGCCGCCTGAACTCTGTCTGCCCGACGACGGTGCATGCTCTAGTGGTGGCGGAGAGCCGGGTGGCGGCGGGGGAATCTGTCCGCTGTAGCGCGTGCCCAGACTGCCGAGCAGAGTCTGCTCATTGGTGCGGGGACTGGCGGGTCGGGACGGTGCCGATCCGGGCCCGGTGTCCACGTCGGAGTGCAGGCTGCCGTGCGGGCTGCCCGCCGGGCTACCCAGCGGGCTGCCCAGATCTGGATTATAAGCTGCCGCGCCGCCAGAACCGCCGCTCGCAGAACCGCGCAGGAAATTCCTCGGGCACATGGGTGGCGAGGAAAGAGGACATTGCGACGCGGAGATTCTCGACTGTGCCGACTGGTCATGTGCCGCCAGCGTGCTCATGTTGCGGTGGTGTGGCGGGTCCTGGTGCTGCCGGAGCAACGTCATCTGATGATCTGCTTGTATATCAGGGCTTGCTGCACTGCCGTCAGCATTAAGTAGAGAGCAGCTCTGCAGGGATTCCGACGGCGATACTCCAGCCTGTCGCTGCTGCTGCTGATGCCCAGGCGGACACCCGCCGCTTGGTCTCCAGACGGCGTTTGGCAGGCCTACCTGCACGATCTCGGCAGCACCGGTGTGCGGACTGGAGGAGGAGCGTGCCAGCGCCGACAGTTGACTGCTCATGGAGTTGTAGAGGACATCACTAGTGAAGTCCATCGACGAGCGGACGCTGTCGGACTCGGAGCAGCGGCGCGAGTCGTTGGCCCGCTTCACCGTCAGATACTCGCTGTCGTAAATGTCATCGCCGTCTCCCTCGCCACCACTGCCCAGCTGCATATGACAGCTGGAGACGGGGCTGACATTGCAGCTGCTGTTCAGCGAGCGATTGCTGCCGTTGGACATCAGGTATCCGGTCTCGTCGCACCAGCCCTTGTTGAGCGCGATGTCGCTGCCCCCAACGCAGGGCGCCGGGTCCATAGCGATGCAGTTGTCAAACATGCCGGGCCAGGCATGTTCCGGGTGACGCTGGATGATGGCGAACCGCGCCGTCGTCGACGAGATGCTCTCCATCGACTTGAGGACGCGGTTGAAGCCCCGCGAGAGAACCCCCTGGGCCGGAGTGCGCGAGCCTCCCGCGGAACGAGGGCCGCGTATCGAGCTGCCGTCGTACGGGTAGTCATGCGGCGCGACCGCACGCCGTGGGCCTCCTGTGCGTGCACGGACAGAGAGCAAGACATAGGCACACACAGAGACGACACAGTGTTACACACACATGTGTGTGCATGCATGCACAGACGGAGTTTCGCACAGACCCCCGGTGAGTCATGTGCAGACAGATGTACACACAGACTGAATTACGGATAGTCAGAGTAACGTGCAGCCAGAGACACACACAGACTGAGGTACGCACAGACCGAGTTACACACAGCCAGAGACACGCGCAGACCGAGTTACACACAGCCAGAGACACGCACAGCCAGAGACACGCACAGCCAGACACACGCGCAGACCGAGTTACACACAGCCAGAGACACGCACAGCCAGAGACACGCACAGACTGAGGTACGTACAGACCAAGTTACGCACAGACCGAGTTACGCACAGACCGAGTTACGCACAGACCGAGTTACACACACGTGCATGTACATAGACACAGCAACCGCAACAGCAAGGGCAGCGACGACAAAGATGAGGAGGACGTCGAGAAATAACATCAACAACAACAACAACAACAACAACAACAACAACGCATACCCAAGCAACTCCTGCAACGACACCAGCACAAAAAAAACGCTACCCTCAATGAATTCTTCATTTCACAGAGCAAGCTGTCCGTGGCCAATGCGGATGAGCAACCTCCAGCCATCAACACCACCCCTGCCATCCTCAGTCCCCTTCAAGAAATGTCGACTACTCAAGCTGAGGTAGAAAAACTCCTTCGCAGAGTTGACACCAAGAAAAATCTCCGGCTTAACAGAAATCCCACAGGAGTGGAAAGATGCCACCATTACTCCAGTGCCCAAGCCTGGTGACCCGACACAACCAACATATTATAGACCTATCTCTATCTTGAGCAGCGCATCGAAAATCCAGGAAATGTTTTTACATGGGCACCCCTACAAGCATAATAACATTCCACCTACCCAACCAGCAGTCCGGTTTCCGTGAGAAAGACGGCACTGCACAGCAGCTTGCTCGTCTTCTCCATACCCTCTCCACTGCGAGAGACAATGGGAAACATGTCACAGCCTGCTTTTTCGATCTCAGCAAGGCCTTCGATCGTGCGTGGCATGCATGTCTTCTAAGCAAAACGCTCCCACTATGGTGTTCGGGGTAACACACTGGAGTGGTTCCGGCGGTACCTGTTGGGGCGTCGGCAGAGGGTCCAGGTGGATGGCGACCTATCACCTTTCCTCGGGATCCCTGCCGGCGTCCCTTAGGGATCTGTTCTTGCAGGCGCGTCGCACCGACTTTGGAGGTGGGCGGCCATGGAAGGGGGTCCGGGGCCCTCCCCCGGGAAAAAATTTCAAAAATTGAAGCCAATTGCAAGCATTTCCGGGCATTTGGTGCCGTTTCAGTGTACGGTAACTACAATGAAAGACTTTGATTCTGCAAAAAACCAAGAAGATGCTACAATCGGGGACAAACATTACACTCCCCCGGGAAAAAAAAACAAAAATTGAAGCCAATTGCAAGCATTTGGTGCCATTTCAGTTTACATGGACTTTTGATTTTGCAACAAACCACAATCGGGGACAAGGATTTGCCACGTTTGCGCTGAGATCATCGCGCTTTGCTGCAGTGTGCTAAAAAAAAAAAAAAAACAGCCGAAAAAGTGGGCCGCCCCGGCCGGTGCGGTTCCGACACCCTTGTCTTGTGCTGTTTCTATTCCTCGTCTACCCCATACTATGGGCCATAGACCTTCCACATGCATGTGAGAATCCTGGCACAATCTGTAGCCAATTTGCAGACGACACCGCTCTGATTTCCTTAGCGGGAACTCTTCAAGACTGCACCCGAAACTTACAGAGTGTAACAGCAGCTGGAGACTGGCTTGAACCGCTCCCCTGAACAACTACCCCAGATCACCCTCAGGAATAGCCCGCTTACCGTAGCACAAAAACACAAACTCCTCGGAATAATCTTTCAACATGACCTCCGTTGGACGGAGCATGTTGAACACATAGTCAAAAATCACTCAAGTCTTTCAATATTCTTTTTAGACTAAGGTCTACACTCACCAATGATTCTTTATCTCACATCTATCAGATAATACATACTACCTATATTCTCATATGCGAGCAATGCTCTCACACACCGTTGTCACACATTTTCTTTGACAGCCTAGAACGACTCCAGCGGAAAGCCGCCAGAATGGGTATCTACCTTCCCCTTTACACACACTTAGAACACTCCCACATTTTGCATTGCATCAAACGGCCAACATTACTTTTCACATAACTTTTCACATAACTTTTCACATTACTTTTCACATTACTTTTCACATTACTTTTCACGACCACTCGGATATGGCGACCACTCGGATATGGGGACCACTCGGATGTGGCGACCACTCGGATGTGGCGACCACTCGGATGTGGCGACCACTCGGATATGGCGACCACTCGGATGTGGCGACCACTCGGATATGGCGACCACTCGGATGTGGCGACCACTCGGATATGGCGACCACTCGGATACGGCGACCACTCGGATGTGGCGACCACTCGGATGTGGCGACCCCTCGGATGTGGCGACCACTCGGATGTGGCGACCACTCGGATGTGGCGACCACTCGGATGTGGCGACCACTCGGATATGGCGACCACTCGGATGTGGCGACCACTCGGATATGGCGACCACTCGGATATGGGGACCACTCGGATGTGGCGACCACTCGGATCTGGCGACCACTCGGATCTGGCGACCACTCGGATGTGGCGACCACTCGGATGTGGCGACCACTCGGATGTGGCGACCACTCGGATATGGCGACCACTAGGATATGGCGACCACTCGGATATGGCGACCACGTTTCCTTGTCACGGACGCACTCACATTCAAAACAGCTCGGATAAGGCGACCACTCGCTCAACACGACCGACGACCACCCACCCGCGACCGCGTTGCACAGGGCTAGTACAATCATGTCAATGTATGCATTGCATAGTAGTCTGCATGGCGCACAATCATGCGTGGTAGATCTACACATCAGTGCAGGAAGTGTAGATGTGCATGGTGCACGCACGACACTTGACAGGTCTGAGGACCCCAGGCACACGAGTCGTGCTAGAGTAGCATAGGCGTGTGCACTGTGATGCACTGATCAAAAATGATGCATCACATGTGGATATTGTCACGTGACCCACTGAACCTGGATAAGAAGACCACCTGGCCACGGCGACCACTTTTTCTCGTCCCTTGAGTGGTCGCCTTAGACGGGTTGCACTGTATGGTAAAACCTGGTTTAAGCGGTCGTTAAAGCCAGGTGGTTCCACAGTGTCTGTGTAGAACTGTCCGCGCATGGAAAAACGGTCGCTAAGAGCAGGTGGTCGCTAAGGCCAGAGGGCGCTTACACCAGCTTTTACTATATACTCGTCGCACATTCTCTGCTCCACAAGTGTGCCCCACCACATACGGTGTACACTCTCGCTGCATATCGCTCGGAGCGTGCCACCCTCATATAATCTAATTTCAGAAATTTTCGGTGCTCGATATTTTCGGTATGAGGGCAACAGGCTAGGGTAGGCGAACAGAAATTTCGGTACAGAGAAGCAGTTCCCTATTGGATTATGTGTGTTAGTGTTTGTTCGGTGTGTTGAAATTTTAGGTGTGAAACAGACGCACCGAAAGTACCGAAAATAAAAGTACACCGAAAATTTGTGAAATTACAGTAGTTTACGTCGCTCTCGTACCTGGCACTCGCCAACTCCGAGGACTGATCGCTGTCTCCATTCTCCCCTCTACAAGGCCATTCTCCCCTCTACAAGGCCATTGTCCCCTCTACAAGGCCATTCTCCCCTCTACAAGGCCATTGTCCCCTCTACAAGGCCATTCTCCCCTCTACAAGGCCATTGTCCCCTCTACAAGGCCCTCCATTACTTTTTAAAATTGTTTGTCTGCCCAGCTTCGCGAAATCCCTCCGCGTACTCTCTTCAAATCCCAGATATCTCTGCTGTTCCACCACTCTGCATGCTCGTGTAGCGACAACCCCTCTGCATGCTCGTGTAGCGAGCACCCCTGCCCGTACACTTAAGTTTAAAAGCAGTCATTAGTCCCGGCCAATTCTTCCTCACTATTTCTCCTCTCTCACACTATTATCTCTTACGGGCCTTCCGTAAATACCGATATTTATTTAGAAACGAAAACTACTCAAATCTGTGGACAGCAACTGTTTCGCTCTGTTAGAGCTCCTCAGCACAGCTCAGAGGACCGAAGCGCAGCTCTTTGCAATGAAATACGTTTCCGTGAAGCAAAGCATTTTTATAATGAGCTGCAAACCCCGCCAAGAGTACTCGAAATGCTCCATGAGCAGTGAGCGTTGCACAAGGCGAGCGGCAAGGGTTCGCGCTAAGGCAAGAGTGCTCAACCTAACGACATTGCTTACTGCTAGGGAGCATAATACTCAAATCTGTGGACAGCAACTGTTTCGCTCTGTTAGAGCTCCTCAGCACAGCTCAGAGGACCGAAGCGCAGCTCTTCGCAATGAAATACGTTTCCGTGAAGCAAAGCATTTTTATAAAGAGCTGCAAACCCCGCCACACGAAAACTAGTCATTTCTCTTCAACCCCCCTCCCCCCCCCCCTTCCCTGAGAAACAAACACATATGGTACATAGTACAGTTGTCCTTCTTGTGATATCCGTACTAGTGAGCTACCTCGCGTGATAGATCATTATCTTTCTACTCCTCTACTCTAAGTTTGTATCAGCCGCGCATGCATTTCCGTTGTGCTGCTGAGCTTCCATGTCGTTCTAGTTCGGCGTTCTAGCTTTGATCTTGAAGTCAACAGTTCCCCTTTTGTCTTGTCCTGAACTGCTCTGGTGTGATCATAATACCTCTCTAATCAGGCACTTGTTTATCCAGCACCCTTGCAAACCAGCACACTTTCTGGCGAAACGGATTTTTTCAGTTCATTTTCTACGCTTTAATCCGGCACTTGAATTCCGCCTCCAGCAGCGATTTTCTACAACAAATCACTCAAACTGT